AGGGATCGTGGGGGGGGGGGGGGGGGAGAATAAGGGTCAAACCCTAGATGTACCCTTAACTTCACTCTAAACTTAAGGATTTCAGAGATGATGCAGTCATCGTGGACCCGCCCAATCAAGTCTCCATGCAGCAGGGATGCCAGCAGAAGTTTTGTATTGGCCAACAAGCGTCGGTTAGAACGCCTTGTTGGGCAAGGGCAGCTTTATGTCAAAGGCTGCATTGTTGAGTAGCTCGTTGGCGGATCGTTTTTACAGGCATACCCTCACCAAATAGATGGCTCAAGGGATGACAGAAATTGTTACACTACACTGACATAGACTCAGTTCCACGAGGTCTTTCGTTAGCTGAGATGGTTTCCCTTGGGTGCGAGTAATCAGCGCGATTGCAACAGTGCTGTTCTTCGGCAGGTTGGTGTAGAAAACTGGGAATGGCTACTAGTACCATCCTTTCCTTTCCTGCTTGCAACGTAGGTTTCCGCTAGTTTGGATCTACTGCCCCTGAGGTTTAGGCTGCCTTGGAATGACGCGAATGCATCGTGAATGATGCAGCGACTGCAACGAGACAATGGGGCAAAGTAGTGTTGATGATGTACTTGATGTAGTGAACAGCATTGGGGAAGTTGTACGTGCAACTACGTGAACCTTTTCCACAGAGCCGCTCTTGAAACATATCACGTCATGTGCCTACTGGAAGGTCCCGGAGTGCAAGAGGCTTCCGATGTTGGCTTTACCTGCATGGAATGTACGACAAGAATCTATCGCGCTACCTTCCATTTCCACGCAATGACCCTCCACGGATTCGTTTCTGATGATACTGGCCACAACATTCCGGACGTGTAGCAGGCTTTCATCGCTTTCCGGATCAAACACCAGGGCTTCTGTGTAGTCGTCACAAGGCAGGCGCGAATGCTGTGGCAAGTTGGACAGTTTCCGCTGACTGCCAGCCACAACCACGATGCGCCTGTAACCCTCGGAGGCCACAACGGGCTCGATGCTGGTGAGATCGAAAACCCAAAGGCCGCCTGTGTCACCATGCTGATATTTGTCTGTCCCATGCGCATCGGCGTCACGCGGTATGAACTTGCAGTACGCTTGGTCAAACAGCCAGACAAAGGAGCCGTAATGGCTGGTGCTGCCGTTCAACCTAAGCTTCGGAGCATCGCCATCAGGCACAGCTTCAATGCGAAGATCGTGACGCAGAACAGCCTGAGCCATCGGCACAGCATTCTTCCAGGTTTTGGTGGTGTAGAATCCCCAATCACAGCGCCTACGATTCTGCTGCAGAAGCTCCAGTAAGCCGCGGCTGTGCTGCCTGTGGTAAAACCGAGATGCGATGCCGTGATAGCCCTCCGGGAGCTCAGAAGAATCGACGTTTGCGACATGACTTCCCTGCAAGTGACCTCCCTGTCTGGGCTGGAAGCCTAACGTTCCATTCAAATCGAAGAGCAGGAGACATTTACCTGCTGGGTCTACTTCAGGTTCCGGCTCGCAGTAACCCAGGTCTGTCTCATCACAATCATCAGAATCCAGAGACAGCTCGGTTAGATGGTCTTCGGGCTCAGCATTGCAATATTTGCAGACAACACTGCGGCAATCATCACAAATCCAACGCTTGCCGCGTGCGCAGCAGTTGACTTGCCATGTAATTCCTGGATGCATGCAGACTCCGCATCTTTCCATGTTTGGGCCTGTAAGATATTCACGATGCACTGAGGGTGCATCACGGGTCCTCGGAGCCACACGTGATGAAGCCATGTGCGCTGCACTTACGAAAAAAACACAAAGACGCGCTTGCAGTTGGAGCCAAATGCAAAGATGGTTCCACATGCTTGGTTGCAGTCCATCAAACCGGCATTTTGTTTGAGCCTTTGGCTTGAAAAGGATACTCCAGGCTGATCCTCAAAGGAGGCTATGGGGCCCAAGGCAAGGAGGCCCAATGATGCTGGAACTGTAATACAAAAAACTGCTTTTGGGGGCAAACATTGACCTGAGATCCAAGCTGGTCCATATGTGGCTCCATCTTGCTTGTTTTGGAGCTGAGCGTTTGCTGATTTACCCAAGGGTTTCAAGCCTTTTAGCGGGACTCTCGTATTGAGTCGTTGTGTTGGAAGAGCACAAGTTGCATCTGTGCTGACATCACACATGTCTTGTCTGCAGATACAACATGCGCCACCTCTGCAAACACTTGTGCAACAGATGACAAGCGGGAGTTTAATTGATACTTCAGGGTGAAGCTTGCTGTAGTGGCTCAGGGTCTTAGGGTTTAGTGCTATGGCGGTTTAAGATTTCAGGCATGTTTAGGGTTGAGCAGCCGCAGTCTTTCATTCAAACAGTAAACACTATCCTTCAAGCAGTCGAACCGCGCAAATCAAGCCCTCCGACCCAAAATCCTCGGCTTCAGCAGCAAGAGCCTCGCATCTGAATCCTTGCAGCGATGACACCGACCCATGCCACAAGTCCGACTCCTTAAAGACCGGAAGCTTTTATCTCAGATGGCCCCACACTCCGAAGCTGCACTCCCTCAAACCCCAGTAGCCCCGAGTTCGCAAAACAGTACACCCTATCACCCTGCCACTGATGCCCTGATGCCTAAGGCCCTGATAGGCCCTGAAGCCGGCCGACCCAACTCCCAAAACCCTTCAGCAAGGCTCTGCGTGTTGCCTTTCGGCACCGGCGTGGCGGCACCGAGCTCGCGTAGAAAATCCCTGGCCTTCCGGCAGCTCGGTTTCGGTCCAGCTCGGGTTCGCAGGTCTGGTATGGGAGCTGTCTGGGCATCGCTGGGGCTTCAGGGCCTCGGACAAAATGGGTGTGTTGGCGTTTAGATAGGACTCATCTTTCGCCGATATGGCCTTGAGGATCTGAGGCTTCGGGGTTTCCTTGGCACATGGCTTACCGGCCTGCACACTTTACCACGGTCGGATTTAGCGAACGGAGCCTGGGGCGTCATAAACCTGACGGGCCCGCGGGGGGCTTTGCGGCTCTGGGGTTCGCGATGGCTCACATGCAGAGTCTAGTCTAGCCCTCAGCGCCACAGCCTCAGTCCGAAAAGCTGAAAGGAACAACGAGTATACAAAAACTGCATGGTGAATAGCTAAGCATTAAGGCCCCTTAGTTTCAGGGGCCGAGGGGGATCCAGGGATTCGCACGTTCTGTGCAGGGTTTGCAAAGTTTCAGGTTGTGGACTTCGGGTTAGGTCATTGAAGGCTTGACAAGCATCAACCAAGACTCAAGAGGCGTTGACGGGCTCATCCAGGTAGCAGGTGTCGAGGGCTTCAGGCTTGAAGGGTCTAAGGCGGCTTGGAGGCAAGCAGACGGTTGAAAGTCTGTGCGGTTTCCGCGAGAAAGAAGGCTGATTTGAGAAATGCGCGCCGCATCAAACAGCGCGGAAGAGGCAATGGACGCCGAGTTAGTTACAGGCTAACGACATGAAGCTGATGGGTCCAATCTCGTCCTTGGCAACTCGCAAGAGCCTTGTCATCCTGTCTATGTCAAGCCTGTCAGCCCGAGTAGAACAGGTTCGCCGCAGGACAGGTGTGGCGCCTCGCGGCGGAACTGCACAAACCCGTCACGCTCCTGACACACCATGGGGGAGTGTGGCCACCCAGAGAGCCAAATGTATAACCCAATGTGCAACATGTGGCAAGATGAAGGGGTTCAGGGCACGAAGGATATGCAGTTGTGCATCTCCCAAGGCGACTGTCGTTGTCATTCGAGAAGTGGAGGGCTGCTGAAGGGGGAACTTACCTTCTCGCATCGGCCCCACCGGAAGTGTGAAGACCCCAAGACGATACACTGATACACCTAAGAAATCCACACTCTAACCTGCTTGACATCGGTCTCCTCGGCGGACCAACTGACAAAGTCCGCAGGGAAAGTCGTGGCGTTGCGCAGGCTGCCGGCGGCCTAGCAAAGGCTGAAAAGTACCACTGTTCGGGCCCCATTTCTCTCTCTGCCCGGCCCGAATACGTACTGATACTGGGTGAGCGGAGGCGCTTGCTTGAGCTTCCTTTCATCTGCCCCTCATTCATAAAATAGGGGTGGTTCAGAGCATGGTTTGCGTACAGCAGCTGTGCTCCCAAGAATGCTAAAAAGATGTTCAACTCGCTCCATTCCGATAGTATAGGCGAGCCTACAGCGTTGGTAGATGCATCCTTACTTTTGTTGCGGCTGGCGCATGCGTGGTTCGGAAACCTCCTGATCTGACACCTCGACCCCGACCTGACCTACCTAATTACAGTACCCTGTCAGAGGACACAGCGACAGGAACTCTACCCCTCCGAGTCAAATGCTTGGGTGCTGAATGCGGATTGCCAGTCTTGAAAGCCCATTTCAAGGGGGGGCGCAAGCCGCCCGGACCACGCTCCCGCGAACAAGACTGAATTCCGGCGAACGGGCAACGCACATGTTTGAGTATCGTCCTGCCACCACCTGCACAACCACCATCATCATCCACATCAACATCAAGATCATTACACATTCATGATCTCCAGCCATCAGTCAACATCGTGCTTTGCGGAACCGCGTGAGTCCAGTGGTGGGATCCGTGCCTTCAGGAGAACTGGCGAGTAGATCTCTTGAGTCTCTGGAGATGCGTCCATTACACATCGGTGCCTGAGAAGTGAGGCCAAAGGGGTCAGTATATATGGATATGTATATAGATAGATTGATTGATTGATACATAGATAGAGGGAGCGAGAGAGAGAGAGAGAG